TCCCGGCCTGGGAAGCGGCGCGGAGGCGGCTCTGGCCCTGCTCAGCTCGCGGCCCCCAGAGCTCGGGCTGGAAAGATGGGGAGGGGCCGGCGGCGGCCCCGCGACGCGCGGGGGCTCCAGGCCCAGCGCGAGGACGGATAACGGGGCCATAGCTGCGGGATAACGGGACCGGGAGGCGGATAACGGAGCCGGCCGGGTGCGGTGGGGGAGTAGATAAAGGGGCGAGGCCGGCGGGTAACGGGCTCCAGAAGGGACGAGCAGCTGGGTCCAGGGTGCTGGAGATCCTTGGGATCTCAGAGCACCCTCCTTGGGACCTAGGGCCTGGGACCGGCTGGACGCAGGGAGGCGCGAGGGTCCCGCCTCCCGCGGGTGGGACTGGGGGCGGTGGCTCCTTGCCCAGTCCCGGATTCGCAGGCGGGGTGGGAGGTGGCACCTGCGAGCGCGCGTGGGACAGGAACTCTGGGATCAGAGGAATAATCATGAGGTTTTCAGAAATGCCCTGTTCAACCTCTTCCACCAAGTCTATTTCTGATTTTCCCTGTCCCTGAATCCCAAAGTCGAACCCCTCACCCCGGGATCCCTGCAGTCAGAAGCGGTCAGCAGCTGATCACGAACCATACCCATGCTAGTAGTTTGTGCAAAGAGTGCATTTGTACCCACGGACGTGCGTGATCCAGACTGTCTGTGGAGTGTGTGCATTGGTGTGTCTGAAGGGCCACTGTGTTGGAGGAAGGGATCGTGTACTTTATGTGTAAGTTGGTGCTGACTCCACCAGAATTTCTGGTCCCTCCTCCTCCCTCCCTGATTGCATCATTAGTGCTAATTGAGGGGCTTTCACACGCCGGTGCATTAGCTGTTTGGAGTGAACTCCCCCCTCCTGGGAGAGATAAGCTGCAGCCCCTCCCCCTCCCAGCCGTCCACTTCCCCACCGCCCTGGAACTGTCCACCCAGATCCTCTCACCTTCCTGGGCACCTTCCTGCCTCCCTCTGGTCCTGAACTGATTAATCTTTTTCCTCCCCTGCAGTGTCAGAGATTGCCTGGAGAGGAGTCAGAGGTGGGGAGGAGGGCCCAGAGCCTCCTCTCTGAGGGAGTGTCCAGAGAGGGGAGATTTTCCTGCAGGGGGCTGAAGAAATCTGGTGCTCCTGTCGAATGCAGAGTCATTGTGATAAAAGAGGGGGCAGGATCTCTGCCCAGTTCTTTTGAACATGGAAGGGTAAAGGAGAGGACTGAGTCCTTGATCTCTAGCCTGTGATCCCACCGAGGTAGGGGCATCCAGCCCTGACTTCTGGGGTTCCCAAAGGCTCACAGAGTTGGAGCTTCTGCTAACTTAGCAAGCATGGGAAAGGCAGAGTGAGAGAAGCCATGATTCTCCTGAGAACCTTGGGTTTGGTGGAGTTACGTCTGGTCCTGTTTAGCTATTCTGCCCTGCGCTGGCCCATGGCTGCTGGGTGTCCAGGGGGAAGGCTCTCAGCAGATGCCCTCCCCAGCCCTCACACCAGATGTCTTTTGGTCTAATTAACTGTGCCGGGAAAACCAACCTGGGTTTGTAAACAGAGCTACTGGCTAAAGTCAACAGGGAGCAGCAGCAAACAGCAAACATTCCCCTCACACTTAGCCTCAGTTCAATCCAGCCCCCTGGGAAAGA